TGTGGCCTGCCCGTGTAGGTCGGGAAATTCTGGTTTTTGAGCCAATTTCGAGCCAAAAAGTAAGATGATCGGATTTTTAGAGCAGAAACAGAGCCCTAGAGGGAGAAAGTACGAAGAACACATCCTAGAAGCTATCTTGGAGCTGGATTTCGTCGAATCGAGTTTGGAGATCGTCATAGGAGTGGAAATCATCATCCCGGAGCAGATTTTCCTCATCATTATGAGTATGACTACTCCGATTACTGTTTTCTCTTCTCTCTCTATGGAGTAGAACCCTTCTCTCACTTGGGTATGAAGAACCCTAGTTCCTTGTGTCAGGGATTTGAGTGTAATGACTTGGGATGATATTACTGTTTGATTTTAATCGAATGATGCATGTTTATTTTATTGATTGAAGTCTGATCAGCTTTTCTTGATTTCTGCTGCAACATGAGATAGATAGAATCTGATTATGTTGTTAGAGCCTCTTCATTCGATATTAGAAGATTGGCTATACGAGAGTTAGCCAGTTTACTGCGTTGTACTGGAATTCAATTCCAGTAGTGGAGTTCTGTGTTCATAGCCTCAGCTTTCTATCCCGGTGAAGACTAGTCGTCTGCCGGGTAGTTAGACTGAGAGGGCTTGGTCAGCTTAAGAGATTCCAAGCTACTGTCGGAACTTCCGCAGTCTAATCAACAGTGAATCAACCCAGGGTAATTACAATTGGCCCTAATTAAGGGGCTAGGGGGACTCAATCCCGAGTGACTCTTTCCTGACTTTGAAAACCGAACAATTTCCTTGCTTTCTTACTGCTTTTGCTTTTAACAACAATCACTCGAACTAGTTTGCTAGATAATAGTGAATCACGGAGTAAGCAGTAGATCTAGACCCCGGGTTGATAATATAACTTGCCTGTTACTGCATTCCCGGACTGCGATTACACTTGGTCGCAGTTTGGTGTTGTGTTTGCTAAGATGATGGGGGCATAGGATTAGCCCACGCCCAAATTGACTGTCCTGATGTGTCATATCCCCTAGTAAGCCCCTTTGAGCCATGTGTTATCCTTTCTTTTGGTCTATAATGAAAAAAATCACCCTTGTTGCATCTTTTAGAAGGTTCCACAGAGTGGTTTTTACATATTCTCTGCTGTTTCTGCTAAAGTTTATGTGAGTGTTGGAGGTAGTGCGTAAAAGTCGGGCAGGCGTTTGAAATATGTGCAGAAGTGGTGGCTCTCTTAAGAAATGAAAAGAAAATGAAAGAAAAACAAAGAAACAATTGAAAGCAAAAGAGAGTCACTACCAAAAATCTGAATAATGCCCATTTAGTAGTGTTTCTTAGCAGTCTGGCTTGGAAATGCTGATGTTTATACCTCCTTCGCTCTTGTGCTCTTGAGATATTGAGTAATGCAGAATAGCAGAAAGAAAATACCGGTTTGTTTGACTGTGATTGTGTGGGTTTGGAAATGTGGAACATTGTGGTATGAATACTTCCACCACTTAAAAGGCCTTTTCCCCATGTCCAAGACCCTAGCCAGTCATTTGAACCTGTGTCTAAGACCTCCTGATTAGTTAGTGGTGACACCCCATATGTGAACTCTAGCATTTAGAGGCTGCCATCATGGTGAAGAGATGATAGGGATTGAGAGAAATAGCATGCGCATTTTTCGCATCAAATTGTCCTGACCCCACTGGTCGAGAGTGAGTGATTCATTTTCATATTCTATATACTCTTGTACCCCGGTGAGGACCTAGATTGCTTGGTCTCTGTTCTGATGTCTTGAGTTGGATGCATGAGTTGACTGTTTTGAGTAAGTGGTTGAGTCAAGTTTAGGTTGGTTGGTGAACAGAAGGGAGACTCTTCCTTTACTCGATTTTGCTGCACTCGAATGTCCTTTGTGGTGGTTGTCCAGGTTGCTATTGAGGTTGTTCATGTATTGATGTTTGAAAACCAGTACGATTCACGTGTTCTGTGCCTTTATGACTTGTCCCCAATGTTGGTTGATTGAAATTTGTAAGCTTACCTGGTGTCTGACTTGGTTTGCTTGGGGACAAGCAAACGGTTAAGTGTGGGGGAGTTTGATAGACCGTTATTTACACATGTTTTTACTCCCGTTCGTACACCGTTTGAGGTGTTGATTCTCGTGTTTTAGGCCGATTACACGCTAGGTTGTGCTTGTTTGTGATATTTCCACTCTGTTTGGAAGAGGTGCAAATGAGGAGGGGGGAGCAAAATGTAGGTGCAAGTGGGGTTTTCAAAAAACTTGCACCCATTTGGTTAGTTTTAAACAGTGTAGGGGGGTGCAAGGAGGGGAGTAAATCTACTATTCCCGTTGGCCCCCCAAATTGGGGTGCAAATTATGGGAGAGGAAGTGGGAGGGATTGATGATTATTTTATTGATTTTTTTTTTGTAGTTATTAGAGAGGGGTGGGGAAAGAGGGTGGTCACGTGAAAGAAATAGAGAGGGTGGGGCCAGGTTGGTGATTAGTTTATTCTTTATTCAGATTTAATTATATAATTCTAATTCTAATTATATTAATTTATATACTTTACACCTCATTTTGCACCCACCTACTTTTTCTCCCAAACAACAATTTGCACCTCAACTTGCACCCCCCTCCAACTTGCACCCCCTTACAATTTGCACCTCAATTTGCACCCCCTTCGAACTTGCACCCCCCTCGTTGCCAAACATAGTGTTCAGGTCCTAATACGTGAATGGAGGTTTGGGAGCGAGTCTGGGGTCGAATGGACGAAGATCGGACGCGCGGCGAGGTTTCAAGGAAGCCGCACGGGCAGACCGTGGCATCACACGGCCGTGCAAGTGACAAGCCAGGCCGTGTGGGATTGTGCGAGAGCAAACACGGGCACAAGCAACCTTCACACGGCCGTGCCATTGAGCACCCTGGCCGTGTGATTTTTGCCGAGGCCAAACACGGGCAGACTGGAATTTTCACACGGTCGTGCAACCCTGGCCGTGTGAGAAGCCTGAAGATCGAACTAAACCATACGCTGCGTTTTAAGCCGCACGGCCAAGTGGGTGAGTCACACGGCCGTGTGGCCTGCCCGTGTGGGTCGGGAAATTCTGGTTTTTGAGCCAATTTCGAGCCAAAAAGTAAGAGAATCGGATTTTCAGAGCAGAAACAGAGCCCTAGAGAGAGAAAGTACGAAGAACACATCCTAGAAGCTATCTTGGAGCTGGATTTCGTCGAATCGAGTTTGGAGATCGTCATAGGAGTGGAAATCATCATCCCGGAGCAGATTTTCCTCATCATTATGAGTATGACTACTCTGATTACTGTTTTCTCTTCTCTCTCTATGGAGTAGAACCCTTCTCTCACTTGGGTATGAAGAACCCTAGTTCCTTGTGTTAGGGATTTGATTGTAATGACTTGGGATGATATTACTGTTTGATTTTAATCGAATGATGCATGTTTATTTTATTGATTGAAGTCTGATCAGCTTTTCTTGATTTCTGCTGCAACATGAGATAGATAGAATCTGATTATGTTGTTAGAGCCTCTTCATTCGATATTAGAAGATTGGCTATACGAGAGTTAGCCAGTTTACTGCGTTGTACTGGAATTCAATTCCAGTAGTGGAGTTCTGTGTTCATAGCCTCAGCTTTCTATCCAGGTGAAGACTAGTCGTCTGCCGGGTAGTTAGACTGAGAGGGCTTGGTCAGCTTAAGAGATTCCAAGCTACTGTCGGAACTTCCGCAGTCTAATCAACAGTGAATCAACCCAGGGTAATTACAATTGGACCTAATTAAGGGGCTAGGGGGACTCAATCCCGAGTGACTCTTTCCTGACTTAGAAAACCGAACAATTTCCTTGCTTTCTTACTGCTTTTGCTTTTAACAACAATCACTCGAACTAGTTTGCTAGATAATAGTGAATTACGGAGTAAGCAGTAGATCTAGACCACGGGTTGATAATATAACTTGCCTGTTACTGCATTCCCGGACTGCGATTACACTTGGTCGCAGTTTGGTGTTGTGTTTTGGCGTGTCAACCTCCTTCTGATGTATCGGGTTCCTTGGTGATCCATATTTGTATTGAGCAGTTTATAACCTTGAAAAGTACAAAACAACATCATAAAAGCATCAAATAGTAAAGAAACACACTCAAGGTCTATCATAGCATATTAATCAAATAGTTATGAATTTCATATGAAATATAGTCAAAACTACTAAAGATGAATTGATAAAAGGAGAAATTGTATGGAATATGAGAATGATAAATGCTATAAATAGAGTGCCATCAGGGCATTAAATGTTGGCAATCAATAAAATTGCCAGACGACCTTGTCGGAAACCTCTGACTAAAATTAATAGATAAGTGGACACATTTAAAATGATAAATTTTTCTCATAAATAACATCACAGTTATTTCTCTTGAAAGTTAACTCTCTTACTTGATTGTTGACTGACTTACTGGCCAAGGAAGTCCTTCGGTCATGTTATTTAGAGGTACCCTACTAATATTATGGGACTATGTACATTACCAAAGGAGAAATATCACACAAAGAATAATTTCATATAATTTTAGATTTTAAGGAGGAATGCAAACAACATTAGTTTTTGTAGATTTATAGGCTTGGACTGTATTCCATAAGTATTCCTGATTTTATATATCGTTTCAAACTTAAAGTTATTGTCCGAACTTTTGAAACGTAATGAAATCATGACCTAAACAAACCCATACCCTGACCGAAGGTTGTTAAACCCCTATCGGACTCTCGGTGGGACTCAATCTGACCTAAGCCGGGATTCAAAACGGCATTTAGAAAGCCTTCCAGTTTGACCCCTAAAGAGGGAGAAGAAGAGAGGAGGAAGAGGAACGAAGTAATGGAGATGGTAGATGGGTCATAGAGGTTAGGTAGGTTTGTTTGTGAAAATAAGTTATTAATAAATATATGTAAGATAAATTTTATTTAAGTCATTAAATTTTTTATTAGTATCTTATTTGTATGTATATATTTAGAACCTAATCAGATTATTGAATCTCAAACTCTATGCTTGATCTGCTAAAAAAGGTATGCATTTTTTCTCTATGTTGTTTGGTGAGGTGGAAAAGTCAAGCGTGTGTACGGACTAACATTCCATCTTTTAAGCAAACAGAAAGCTCTCTCCCTGCGCACAAGCTTCTCGTCCAGATCTGGCAGCGGGATTCATTCCAGCTTTTGCAACAATAATAATATTAAACAAAGAAGATCAGCAGAAAGCAAGCAATCAGCTGCAGCGGGAGAGGGCGTATCCATGGAAGCTTAGAGGTGGCCAACCAACCCACCTTCTGCAACTCTTTCGCATTTCGTAGAAATGGATTCGGAAGAAGCGACTTCTTCAGTAGATGAAGACGCTCCGGTTGCCGGGACGCTTGGAGGCGACGGCGGAGCAGCTGATACCAGAGGCAAACATCGGATTCTTGCTGAGCTCAAGCGCATCGAGCAAGAAATCAGCTTTCTGGAGGTTTACTATTACTTCTACTACTCTCAAATCCATTCTTCATTGCTTGATGCTACTTAAAAGTTTCCCCCTTTCCCAAAAGAGATTCAATTGTTGTTTCCTCCAGTTGTTTGTTGAAATGCCCACACTCCAGTCGGTTCCTTCTCTGGAATATGAATTCTGATAAGTGTTCACGTAGAAGAGGAAAAAGGAGTCCAATTTCGTCGTGATTCTAGGTCAAACTTACACTGGGCGGCGTAAGCACACATTTTGTTTTTCCAAATGTAAAACGTTTTTGACTGGATGAGGAATCGGCATTTACCCACTTTGATAGTCTCTGCCATCTGTTAATGTTTATTTTTATTTTTGCCACCCATTTTTGGTTGCTGGTTTTGTTACTCAGAATTTCCAAATCCGGTTTGAATACTGGTTCGATCAGTCTCAAAATCTGTCACATTCTTCAGATGCAGTAGGAATATGTAGTCTCACTAGCTTTGACTTTGTACAACGTCATTTAATGTGGATGTAATGTAGACCTTCTGGGATCGCAGTGGCTAGAGGGTTGGCTAGGTTAGAGAAGACAGAATGAGCCAACTGCTGGGTCCAAATTTAATAGGGCCACTAGAGTCTACATTCTTCTTCACTTGTCTCTTTGTCAATCCTACATTGCCATCATTGTGGGCTTCCCTTCAATGTTTTTGGAGATATTATTGTGGCCAGCCATGCGAACAAGCTTGCATTAGCAAGCAAAATCTAGCTGGATGAGAATTTAGTTCAGTATATGTTTGTTGTGACTTTGAGTAGGGAGGGTTAACTGAGTTGCTGCTGTTTAGTTTGATACTGAATGATTCACTGGTGCACACTTTGTGATTTCAGGAGGAACTGGGGGAACTAGAGAAGACGGACAGTTTATCGACTGTATGTGAAGGGTAGGTAACTGGTAGTCGATCAAGAAGAGAGCCAATGGACGATGTTTGTTGGCTAAGGTTCCTGATTATTAAGGATAATGATGAATGCTGTTTATTGTGTGTTTCCCTAGGTTCCTTCGCAATGTGGAGATGATACCTGATCCACTGCTGGCAATGTAATTTCTTCTGCACTGCCATTTTCTGTACAGATATGCTCCTTCTTACCTTTGTTCTAACTTTGATCATTCACATTATGTTTATGAGCTTCTTTTGATCTCTTCTGCCTGCAGAACAATTGGACCTGCAAACCCAGTATGGGATCGATGGTTCGAGGCTCCACCAGATGCTGGGGGTTGCAGCTGTTCAATACTCTGAAGTTGAACGGAGAAAAAGAAGACAGTCAAATCTAACATTTGTTGTCTTGTCCAGTCAGAGACAGGGAGAGAAAGTGTGAGTTTGAGGCACATCACCCATTTTTAGCAAGCTTGTCAACTGGAATATTTTTCAAGACCAAAGTGCAAATATCTGAAAACTTGTCCTCACGATCAGAGTCCATAGAGAAAAATTCTGAATTTGTAAATCAAAATTGTAATTTTGCCGACCTAGAAACAGAAAGAAAATTTGGAAATCCCACTCCTTTCAACCACTTTGTACCTCAATCTGTTTATACTATTTTGGCTACTCCTGTTCAACCTGGTATCCATATTATCTTGAGTTGAAGGAAAGTGAAACACACTGGAATCCACTTTACACAGTTTGATGAAATTGATATTCCATGTGGGTTGAGCATGATTTGGTTAGGTTTCATGTTTATACTTGTTATTATAAATTTTGGGGAAGGGCATGAGCATAAGATTTCTTCTATTAAAAAAAAAACACTATTTATTGATGGGTTAATACTTTATTCTAATTTGAACTATACCGAAGTAATCAAATTTTGCTCGTGGACTACAAGGAGCCTCAATAAATTTCATCGGTCACTTTTCATACATAAAATTCATCCAGAAGTGGAATCTTTGAAATTCACTCCTAATACATTCTCTAAGGATTGTACATATTTCATAAATTGTACCATTCCATGGGCCAAACCTGTTATTTTCTTCTGAATGATAAGTGTTGTCTCCAATGAAAACCCCAAAACTAAGAAACGGTCAACAAGTAGTAGCCTGAAGACAAAGGGTCGGCAGAGTAACCAGAGTGAATACTACTGCTCTTGATAGTTGCAGAACAAAATTCAGTTTGACATGGATCAGCAACATTTATAAGACAAACGGAAGGTGATTAGGTGATCACAGTCAGCTAACTAATTTTTACATGGATCTATACAGAAGCGATTGACATCTATATTCCCAAGAAGAAACCAAGAAGTGGAGAGCTTCCAATCTCCCAGCCAATTTACAAGGATATCTAGTTCAAGAAATGAACCTGAAACACAGTAATTGCTAGAGAACTTGGCTGGACAAGAGATGCCGCAGCTGCAGTAGATGTTCTTCATCTGAAATGTGAAGGGACTGACGACGAACATCATCGGTAGCTATTAGCTTCAGTCTGCTGGTAGCTACTATCTTTCTCTCTTTCTCTTGAGAATGCATCTGTGACTGTGAGCCTCCCTATTGGTTGTAATGTTTGCTTGGTAGCAACTGTAGACCTGTTTTGAATATCCTGCATCAGACAGACGGATAAGTGGTTTTTTTTCAGAGAAGGAACTAACAAGTTCAGGCCAACGATTCAGGTCAAAAGTTCATCATATATGTTCACGGCGTATTTTCAACTTCAGACTAACTTGTACCATCCAAAGCACATTATCCATTATCATCAATTCAAGCTATACAGCAAAGATCAATGAGATGCAAACAGGAACTCAAGAAAACTTATTCAACTGCAAATTGAACTCAAGAACCACTTGTTCTTATGCCAGACCAGCTGAAACCCTTAAATCAGACTCATGAAACTGCTTAAAGTTGAATGAACCCGGAAAGCCTAACAATGAAGCTGTTATTCTTCAATGCCTTGACAATTCTGCCTACCCTCGAACATTGAACATCAAACACCACTGCTACATCTCCAACAGCCCATTTCCTTGCTCCCTTCCTAGAAGGTGGTTGAGGCCTAACTTTATTCCTACCCACCTTCTCGGTCAAAAGCTCTCCATCTTCGTCCCCAGGTGATTCATTGCTCACAATGAAATGGGCTTCACGTGCTGAAATCACCTGGCCTGGAAACCATGATCCACCATCAGGCTCATTGTCTCTTCTCAAAATTTCCACTAGATTCCCTCTTCTCAACTTCGTTGATCCAAGTGCTGTTCGAGAATTTTCAAAGCACCTGAGACAAGGATTCATGAGAGGAAATAAATCATACATATACTGGAAAAAATCCCAAAATACACATGTTTTTTAAAAAAAAAATCCCAAAATACACACGTTATAAAAAAATTTCCCAAAATACACATGTTTGGGCATCACCACTGTTGTCAACCGCAGTGAATGAATTCACCGCGGCAGACCAAAGCGGTGAATGCATCACCGCGGTTGACCGCCGCGGTGAATGCCTGACGTAACACTGAAACTTCAAACAAACGTAACTTTGCACTCGGTTATCCGATTGTAGCGAAAAAAATTTTGATTCCACATAACTTTTCAAGATCTTTCAATCTGAAACAAGACTTCATCCCAAAAAAAAATCATTTGCTACCACGAACGAGCAATTTTTTTATTTTGACAAACTTTGGAAGATCATAACTTTGTGCTCCATAATCCGAATGTCATGAAACTTTTTTTGATTTGCATAAATTTTGAAGTACTACAACTTTGATTATAACCATAATTTTGGAAAGTATGTGGATTTGTGAAAAGTAAAGGCAAAGTTATTCGAAAAATCCTGTATACCCAAAAATACTTCTTTTTTTAAAAATTATTTCCTAGTCAAAGTTGTATTTCTTAAAAAGTTATGCGCAATCAAAAAAAACTTTACGACGTTCGGATTGAGGAGCTAAAAGTTATGTCCTTCCAAAGTTTGGCAAAATCGAAAAATTGCTCGTTCGGGGTAACAAACGACATTTTTTTGAGATGAAGTCTTCTTTCAGATTGAAAGATCTTGAAAAGTTATATGGAATAAAAAAAAATTCGCTACAATCGGATAACCGAGCGCAAACTTACGTTTGTTTGAAGTTTCAGAGTTAAGTCGGGCATTCACCGTGGCCGTCAACCGCGGTGATGCATTCACCGCTTTGGTCTGCCGCGGTGAATGCATTCACTGCGGTTGACAACAGCGGGCATTCACCGCGGTTGACAACAACGGTAATGCCCAAACATGTGTATTTTGGGAATTTTTTTTATAACGTGTGTATTTTGGAAAAAATTTTAAAAAACATGTGTATTTTTGGAATTCGTCCTACACATACTAGAATAAGGAGCAGTCAGTTATTCCAGAATAATAATGGGGAGCTGGAGATAACTGATAAGGAGCATGTCGTGTGTGCTTGGGCTGTGGTAGCCGTCAGGCCCGATGAATTGGTGCCCAAAAGCAGGTATAGCAGCTGGCCAATAGGCAATAGCTCATATATAACTTAAGCCCAAACTAGTAAAACAATGGTTGGAGGCTGTAGTTAATTCCCTTGAGCCTGGATGATGGGCCGAGCTATTGGGCTTGTGGCCAAAAGCTGAGAGAGAGGATAACATTTTGTTGTGTTTAATACACTTCCATAGCCACCATTTTTACGTTTGTGACAGATACAGCTACAACTTTCGAAATACACGAAATAGCCAGAAGTTTGATAATTGTTTGACAAATTTAGCCATTTTCAACTTCCGTTACAAACTTTAACGGTGTTAGAGATTCCGTTAGTTAGGTTAACGACACGCTGACTAGGATACCAAATTGACACACACGTCAGCGACAACAAAGCATCACTTGCCACGTAAATGCCACATCATAATTTACTTTATAAATATTTTAGGCAAAATACACTTTCATAGCCACAACTTTCATGTTTGTCACAATTATAGTGACAACTTTCGAAATACAAGAAATAGCCAGAATTTTGATGGTTTTTTGACAAATCAAGCCATTTTTGTTACAAAATTTCGAAACACGAAACAATCGAGACCATGTCCTTTGATTTCTTCTCAGGGCTTTGTTTGAGAGGGAATGCAACGAATCGAGCCAATTGACAACGGCGAATCGAGCTTCACCAGAAACAAGAACAACCGTACCCACAAAAGTTACGAGGAATCGGAGGGAAAATGTACTACGAGCCGCCACATCCTTCCTTCCAATCCCATCTTTCTTTGTCGCCACCGGAGACATTGTCTCCTCTTTCACCGCCGCCGCGATGCCTTCTTCTTCGCAACCGTCGTCAGCTTCTCCCCATCAGCCTTCTTGCCCCCTTTCTCAACATTTTTCTGTGACCCACCAAGCATTCGAGGCCTTCTTCTTCAATGCGATTGGGGATCTGAATCGTCAATTTGGGAAATAAGGCCTCCTTCTCCAGTCATACTGTTAAGTGACACCGTTAAAGGGATACACGAAAGTGGTTATTTTGTGTATATCAAAAGTTCTGACTATAACTGTCACAAACGTGAAAGTTGTGGCTATAATTGTTACAAACATGAAAATTATGGCTATGAAAATGTATTTTTTTATTTTTTTTTTAATCCACGTGGATAGCACTTCCGTCAGTCTAGTCATATTGTTAAGTGACACCGTTAAAGGGATGTACTGAAGTGACTATTTTGTGTATTTCAAAAGTTGTGGCTATAACTGTCACAAACGTGAAAGTTGTGGCTATGAAAGTGTATTTTTCCTTCTTTCAGTCACAACCCCGATCCACGGCTTGAAGCTTTTCATTGTATAAATACTTTTCATAGGACCGAATTCACTCTTTTTATTCTAGAACATGAGTGATGAAATCAAGTTGAGCATGAAGGTAGAGTTTAATGGGTGTATACCTACACATTTATTTTAGTTGAGTTGGGTTTTAATCCATGCAATTTGGGTTTGAACTCATATACTCATATGCAAATTACAGTTTGTTCTCTAAACTTAGTGGGTCTTTAGATTTAGTACCTAAATGTATTTTTCATATAAATGCTCACAATGTCGACGGAAAGTCATATTTTATTACCTAACAATTCTATATCTTGCATTTTGATGCCTAAACTTTTAAAATTTTACAAATATGTCCAACTTTGAATATGTAATTATAACAATCTCAAGTAAATAGACATTCATATTCAATCCATGCCCGTAAGAGTATGGAAGCAATACTCATACACTATCCAAACCCATCTTTAAAACTCCAAACTCATATAGACCACACATACCTTACTCACAATCAATGGATTGACTTAAATTTCAGTAAAATTGTTATCCCTACATATAGCGAGACATGATGCGTACTACTTCCCATATCACTCGTGTCCCGGTTATATACCGAATTATCTCCAACTACTTATGGGCAATCGAGATGTATAGATAGATGTACTTTATCAAGCTGTGCTAAGTTATGAAGCAATGCTGTGTTGGTCTTTCAGTAACCCGCGTATATAAACTAGAGAAAAATAATGTGATTCTTCTGGAATTGCCATTTTAAGAATTCTTTTTCCCTCCCCTAGTTTATAAAACAATTTGGGAAGTAGGTATCTGAAACAAGGTTTCTCGTTGAAAAAAGTGCCCTAATTTCGATCCCCCTCTTGCATCTCTTGTCGCGTTCAACTTGTGCAGTTGTCTTTGTGGCTTCTGTTTATTTTGCCTGCGTAACCAACAATTCGAAATGTCAAAGAGAATCAAATCAATAAATGTATTATGCATTCTCTCAAGCAAGATTGTTTGTTTAATTTCACGCATAGAAGTGATCATGGGGCAGGGACGTGTGTATATATATACATACATAGTTTGTAGCATGGTTGCTTGAAAGCTGGATCTTCACTCAATTCTGGGGGTTCCTGTCCGAATATCATCTCGCAACTCATATCATCAAAATCTGTAGAATCATAAATTAGAGAGTTATATACATGTCCTTATTAGGCTTCATATTGTTTAGATGTTATTATTATAAATTATGAGTAATCGCGCGATCATATAACAAAAATAACTACACGCGACATTTGACATGGTTGACTAACACGACATATCGTCTGTGTTTATCAATTGATGGTGAGCTGAGAGCCTGAGACCAGATGAGGGTCTAGTTGCAGGTTTGCTCCCTAAGTGGGTTTAACTCTGGGTCCCTCCCTCCCTCCCTCCATCAACAAGATGGTGCAGCTGGAAAACTCCACCCAATTTTCCCAAGTGCAGGCATTATTTATTATCTTACCCCTATGGGGTTTTTAATAGTTATTCAAAGGGAGATAGCACAGGAGTACAATTTGCTTGTCTAATAATGGGACCTTTTTTCCCCAGTTTTTCCCCCTTCAACTAACTAAATTTAGTGCTGATCTAGGCCCACAAATACATGTTTGTGAAGTGTGTAACTTGGTTAGGGTTGGGTTAGAAAGAAACACCACAAAGTCTTGGCTTATGGGTTTGTCGAGTGACTGTCGTCGATGCACAAAATTAAATAGGATTATGATGATTATAAGTAAGGGATGGAGAGAGTGAAATTACTTACTAGGAACCATGTTGACCGGCATTCCAAAGGAGCCGTTGATGAAGGTTTGAGACGGCACCTTGCAGAGATTAGTGCACATCCCAACACAATTACTCTGCTCCAAGAACCTGTCGTCACCCAACAACACAAGATCACGCACTAATTAATTAAGTAGAGTAAGTAAAGCAACACCATATGTGGAAAGTAATTAATACAACTTTGAGGGAATAAGTATTGATGTATACCTGCACTTCTTTATGTGGACAACATTTTTCTCCTTGCTCCCGTTAAACTCTGATTCTCGTACCTGCATAACATTTCCAATGAAATATTTTTCCAATTAGCATATTAGTGCCGTGTATAGTTTCGTGTGGTGTGATGTAAGTGTCTAAGTATGTTTTGGTTAGGGATGGCAATTATCCATGGTAATTCTACCCAAAGCTAAGTAAACTCGGATTTTTTTCTAAAAATAGAGGATGTATGTCGCCACATGGAGTGGCGACATAGCTATATCGTCAGTCCAACAAGCGACATATTCACACAACCTATACCCAACCCATAAAATGAGCTTGTAGTACATACACATAAAAGATTGGGCCTACTTGAAGAACTTAAACAGTTAAGGTATGAAAGTGTAAGACATAAAAAAAAATAGTTACTAAAATGTAATTTTCTTTAGTTTTTTAAGGACTTATACAAAAAAAAATAGTACTAGGTTCTAATCTAAAGATCTATTAAGTTTAGGTTCAAACTGTAATTTGTATATGGGTGTGGGTATAAACTCAAATCCATAAATTAAAAATCCAACACAATCCAAATAAATAGGTATGGATAGGAACACATCAAAATTCTACCAATTTACGTTGTTTTTGGGTTGGATAAGGAAATGCCCATGGGTTTGGATAAAAGTGTCATCTCTAGTTGTGATTAGGAATGAACATAATTATTATGGTGCAACCAAGGTTGTCAACATGATTGACCCTGACCGGATGAGGAAAACATCCGCCACACATCCACGTGTCAACCTACAGCAAGGCTCTTGGGTTGTAGGCTACATGAAGTCGTTTTTTTCTTTGGTTTGTGAGTTACGTCTTTTTCTGGTTTTCCTATTCGCCTAACTCTGTCTTGGAATTCTGAGTTGAATATTAATGTTATATGAGTGTGTTTGAATTTCTACTATATGCTGGTACAAAGTACGAATAGTTGTTTTGAAGTAATGTTATATGTTATTTCTCATACGTTAGATGATATTTAATATATTTTATAGATATATAAACAGTATAATGAATTTTTCATATATCTGGATTGAAGCGATCGAACAGTTCAATACACTTATTCGATCAGGCCAACAGGGTTAAATGGGTTGACAACCATGAGTGTGAGTATAGATTAAATCTAATGACGGACACGTGGAAACATCCTCACGTCAGCAAGCAAAGAATACTAAAACAAATATATATAACTTTGTATGGTGATAAATTGGTAAATTTTTTACGTCTAATCTAGGTCATTAGGGGCTAAAATTACTCACTCGTTATAATTTTTTTACAATTATATTAATTATGCTATACATTATGATATTTATTTTGATATATTTTGTAAATAAATATTACATTATATAATACCACATACTTTCACTATCGCGAAGACAATGTTAAGACTATCTTAAGAAAACATTACTTCAATCACTATTTCACTTCTTTTCTTACAAAACAAAATATTTACCTTACTACTTGTACCTTCCCAACGATGTGGAGTTTAATCACTAATTGTTTGTTCTTTCTATATCTTTATTTTAAATGTAAAAGGTGCTTATTGGGAATGTTTAAATTTAGGGATAAAATAGAAGATTGAAACAAACATGGTGGTGAGGTTATCTATGACCTCTATTTGTTGTTTTTTCCTTTTACTTTTCTCTCTTTAATTCAGCTCATCTTTAACTTTACGTTAAATAAAAGTGTAATTGGTCTATGTATATAAACTCTTCATCCAACTTATTGATTGAAAGCTCCTTAGCTTGTCGTTAATCGCGATCAGTTATAAATTCTAGGTGGATTGATACACATCTCCTACTTATTATATATATTTGTATCCTCTGAGTCTAGGAATGGCAATGGGCAGGTCCGGGGCGGGTTTCTTGGTACCCAGACCCGCCCCGTGGCAGGTCGGGTCTAGGTCAGGTAATTGATCACGGGTCGCGGGTCGGGGCAGGTCGACCCAATGGGTAGGGGTGGCTATACGGTCCGGTCCGGTTAAATTGGCCCAAATTGATCCGGTCCAGTCCGGGTTTTTTAAAAATATAAGGACCGAAGATTGGATTGGATACAGTCCGGTCTTGATCCGGTCCGGTCTTGACCCGGTCCGGTCCCAATTCGGTCTTGATTTTATATTGAGATTGTGGGAATTTGAGTGGCATAAGGCCTAAAAGGGTGAGGAGTTGGTTAAGTTTTGTACTAAGTGCAAAGGTTTGTGACCGTTTATGCAAATTACCCTTAAGTTTTGGGTGTTGAGCTCTCTTATCCGGTCTTTATCCGGTTTTTTACCTCAAATCGAAGCCCAAAGATTGGATTGGATTGTTTACTATCCGGTCCCGGTCCGGTCTCGGTCCGGGTTATACGGTCCGGTTTCCGGTTTTTCATCCGGTCCCGGTCCAAATAGCCAGCCCTACCAATGGGTATGCAATTTATATGAAAAACATTAGAAATATTCGTTATTTTTAGTCTAACTAAGAAAACAAACAATACTATGACAATTGTAGTTAAATTATTGGAGAAATTGTGGTTTTTACTGATTTACAACTTTATTATAGCTAAAATATGATGCAATAAAAGGAAAATTCTAAGTAATTTGACTAAGATTACATGTTATCTAGACAAGAATGGGTCGAGAATGGGACGGGTCAGGGCAGTTCGGGTTGATAAGACTACCCATGCCCGCCCCGCCCCGCCTACGGGGCGGGTCGGACCCGCCCCAAAGCAAGTCAAACAGGTCAGGTAAAACGGGTCAGGTCGAAATTACCATCCTATCTGAGTCGTTGTATGAACCTCCTTGTTTAGTTACCATTTCATTCCATCAAGACATTATCTTAAAGGGTAAAAGAAAAGAAAAAAAAAACGAGACGGCAGGCTGATATATAGTTTCCAAAACCAAAAAACAAAAGTTATATATAAAACATAAAAATAATGTTGACGACTTATGAACTCCTATAACAATGATTCCTCATAATAAACGTAAAAATAGTTGAGAATCAAGGTTGAATGAAACAATGAAAAACTAATTATATATAAAATATTAATAATAAGGTAAACAATTGACAATGATGATTAGTAAATTATTGTATATATGGTACAGTCTAGTGGGTTGGAAGTATTTCGAAAAATGGAAAAAAATTATTGATCATCAAATTTTGAACAAATTGATGTAGACTGAAATTAATAAATGCCATGCAATGTAGAATTCATATGTATTTGATTGTGTAAATTATTGTATATATAGTTACCTCACATGGGCCGACGAGCCAGGCAAAGAAGACGGTGGTGAAAGCAGCAAAATACTCTCTTTTGAACTTTGAGTTGGGAAGAACCGTCCTTATCTGCCCAAAATCAACCCCCCACATTTTTTTAAAATCAAAACCAAAACAAAAAAATTGAAAATCTTCACGATCATCATCATCATAAACCTTGATGATACAAAACCACCACTACCCACCAAATTAAGCTGAGTGGCCGGCCGGCCGGCCCTCACCACATTGCCGGCCGTATAATATATATTAAAGGAATTAATTATTGTTCTGTGTCTAATTAATTAAGCGTGACATAAATTAAGGCATCGTAACTTCCGCTAGCTGCATGCATTGGAGTGTTGGAGTAAACCTACCAAGTGAAGGATCGGCGCGGGAATGGCGTTGGCAAGCGCCTGAACCACAAGGTGACGCTGCTGCCTCACCTCGAACTTCCTCGTCACGTCCCTCGTCGCCTGCACCAAGCTCTCGTATCCCTTCTTCTCGTTCCACGCCCCTAGCTTACACATATATTTAATTAGTACACATAATGATTAACAACTAATTACTAATTAGATCGATAGATAACGACAACGGAGAGAAACTAATTAACTAAACTGACCCGTCGCCTCTTGGACGTGGCGGGACAGGTAGTTGATCGCCGCCTCCTCCAACCAGCTGTCGTGATACTCCGCCGGCGGCGGCGTCGTCGTTACTGCCGCCGCCGCGGGGGGCTTCACTGCTATGCTCCTGTTGTTGTTCCTCTTGTCGGCGGCCCCGATATTCTCGGAGGACGACGGCCTGGTCAGCACCGCCACCACCGGACTGCTGTGGCGTGCTTGCCCGCCGGCGGGTTGAACCCACGAGGAGATTCTGAGACCGGTTAGCTTTGTTTCCATGATGAAAATCGATCGATCAATGAATGATGAGATGATCGTAGCTACAGCTGTTTTCTTGGTAGCATATTGTGAAAAGCGAGGGCGGATTCGAGAGGGAATCAAAGCAGCATTAACATATATATATATATTTCTAGATAGATAGATAGGGAGTCACGCAGTGCAAATGCAATTATGCGAAGCAGGGAAACAAGACAAAAACTTTACTTGGAAGTTTTCGAAGGATGGGTGGAAGGAAGGATAATAACAAGGAGGAAGAAGAGAGCAGAAAATGGGAAAGGGAAAGGTTCGTTTATATTCGTGATTACGGCTGCAGTTGGGCGACCTTGTTTGGAAGTTTGTAACATTCCCGGCTTCGGCCGGCCATTCACAAAGATGCTTCATTTGTCGGCTTCACAGTTCCCCCTCTCTTCTTATTTTTATATTTACGTTTTTTTTGCGCTGGGCCACGTCACGGTGTTATCAGCTAATCATGATCACTATTATGTCGTTATTAATTATCTCCCACACATCAACCTCTGGGAATTCACCTCTTTACATTGCCCTTCCCCAATCAACAAAAAAAATTGCCAGCCCACAGGCTGTGTAACACAAATCCTTGACCTAGCTCCATTCAAATAAAAAAGGTAGTTTTTCAAACTACCCATTTTCTTTATTCAAAATATATATAATATTTTATAAATATAATTAAAATTAATAATATCTAAATAATTCATTCACAAAGAGACACAAAACTAACTAATACAATTATTGTTTTATAAATAACCAGGACGAGTTTTCATATTATGAAAGAAATGTAAAATACCTTCATTGTTTACACCATAATATTGTGATAATACCTAACGAGCTGTTGTGAAATGATAGTGTCATGAATAAAATCAATAATTTAATTATTTTATGTGAATTAATGAACAAGTAATGAGTTATATTGTAATGTTAAAATATCCTTATGTTACTTGTAAATGTTTAATTCGATCTATACAAATATATGTGGGGTTATTTTTTTCCCTCCCCGAAAGTTACCCCTGGCCCGTGACAGGGGCAAACACCCATGCCTCCGCCGGAAAAAATCCCAATGTACACATGTTCTTAAAAAAAATTCTCAAAATTCATAAGTTATAAAAAAATTTCCCAAAGTACACATGTTTGGCATTCACCGTTTTTAACAAACGTAGTGAAGGTGATCACCGCGTTTGACAAAGACGGTGAATGTTTCACCGTTTTAAAATAAAACGGTGAAGTATTCACCGTTTTGGTATAACACGGTGAATCAATCACCGTTTTTGTTTAAAACGGTGAATACTTCACCGTTTGTGTCCAAAACGGTGAAGCGGCGCGGATCGCTGACGTGGACAAACGCGGTGTATTCACCGCGTTAGACAAACACGGTGAATACACCATGTTTGTTTACGTCAGCGATCCGCGCCCATGTTCTTTCACCGTGTCCGTTGGATGCGGTGAGGCGCGGATCGTGGTTTTCTTCCCACGATCCGACGCCTCACAACACGCCACGTCCCCTCTGGAGGGACCGTTTTGGGGAAAAGCGATGCCTTCACCGCGTCCCTCAAACACGGTGAAGGCTCTCCAATTAAATGCTGCGCAGGCGCCTCCCCCCTTCCCCCAACTATAAATAACCCTCCCCCCTTCACTTACAACTCACACCACAACCATTTCACTTCTTTCTCCCTCAATTTATCCGCTCTAGTCTCGTTCTAAGTATGCTCTGTGGTTGCGGCTAAGTCCGATCTTCCACATCAGAAAGAATTACTAGAGTTTGACCCTAAAGCCCCCGTCCCGCTAAGTTCCCGTCCCTTACAAACCTAAACCCGTCGAACCTCTGTCCGGCTTCCGCCAAAAAATGGACGAAGAGGCTCTTCGTGTAGGTTTTTTGTTTATGATTTTTTTTAATCGAAACAATTTGATTTTGTGTTTTTTTTATCAAAACAATCTCTGATTTCATTACTTTTTTATAGATGGGTGGCGAGATATACGATCCTCGATTGTATATCCATTATGGCCCAAGGGATGCGAGTCTCTTAACCGATCAAGAAGCTCATCGCTCCCGTGCTATTTGGGATAACAATCCGGTAATTTGATGAGTATTCTTGCTTTATTTTATTATTTTCTAAGGTTTTATTTTGCTTTATTTAATCTAATAAATTGTTGTTTTCCCTATTTTTTTAGGAATCTCTTGTTCCCGTGGTTCATAAAGGGACCAATAACTTGCCCGCTTGGCATCCAAGGTTGGAGCCCTATATAGCGAGGACCGGTTTGGGAATGTTGCGCCATTTCTTGCGGATCGAAATCGACATTCGATCAGAGCCCTATATAGCTAGGTAGTAGTGCAACATGACCACGATCACCAACATCGTCTTCTCGCTCATGTGAAGTACGCCCTGATCGAATGGTATTCTCGATTTCAGACAACTCTGGCCCCCAAGCAGGCCATTGAACACCATCGGCCTCAACAAATGGGGTTGGTTGATCAGGTTGCGAGTATTCTTCCGATGGCACCCATCCTGCACTACTACCTCCACCGTAGTTGATTGAACCACCACCCTCTCCGTAACCTCCTGTATAACCACCGCCTTCGTAGTTGCTCGAACTACCACCCCATCCGTACCCTCCTGCAAAACCATCATCATGAGAATAATGGTGAGAATGAGATTCACCGACCGCCTCGGTCTCAACATACACCTCTGCAAGCCGGACTTGGTTATCGCTTAGGAACTGTAACATCATCGTAACCGCATCATCATCGTTTATGACAACTTCTTGGAACACGACCCCGCCAGCACTCATGTCTGGATACCGGTAAGTAATTTTGCCAAGTCTCGTCTGTCCGCTCGTACAAACCCTGTCTGCACAAATATCACAGAGTTCTTGAAAATTGAATCGGGAGTCAATTTTCAACATAATGGATTCGCCGTCCTCATAATCAATGCCTATGTCAGAGTTTGTCACCCTTCCATTCCACCGAATAGTAAGATGAAACTTCTTGAATTTACTCATATCTACAATTTACAATAAGTATCTATTAGCTTAAAGACAGTAAAATTAACCAAAATCATATTGTACAACTAATATTATCCATCTCATAACTAACGAACATAAATTCAACTAACTAACAACAACATAATACGAAAATTAAAGCATACTATAACTACTAAAAACATAATTAGACTATAATACGAAAAGTCTCAACATACCGAAAAATGCTTGTTCTGTGTATTATGCTCGATTTTTGTTGCTGAAATTTGAAGAAGGGGGAGTGGTTATGTTTTTACTTCTGCTTGTGGTGTGGTATTTATAGGAAAATCTGCCTAATATTCACCGTTTTTGTCAAACACGGTGAACACCATCACCGCGTTTGTCTCAAACGGTGAATAATAGGTAGGTGTGACCTAATTTTGACCTACCAGGGGTGGGAAACGTGGGAAAAGATCACCGCGTTACCCTACAACGGTGAATGTATTCACTGTTTTTAACTAAAACGGTGATGTATTCACCGTTCTCTTCAAACGCGGTGAATACATCACCGTTTTAGATGAAGGCGGTGAATACGTCACCGTTTTAGTTTTAAACGGTGAAATATGCACCGTCTTTGTCAAACGCAGTGATCACCTTCACTGCGTTTGTCAAAAACGGTGAATGCCAAACATGTGTACTTTGGGAAATTTTTTATAACTTATGTATTTTGGGAATTTTTTTTAAGAACGTTTGTACAGTGGGATTTTTTCCTGCCTCCGCCTATGTATTCACACCTCACACTCATATGGTTGTGTCACTCTTCCCCAAAATTTGAAGAATCTATACTAGGTAACAGTATAGAAAATGTAAAGTTCATGCCCAATTGCCAAGTGATTTTTTTGGAAAACATGTTAGGTGACAGAACATCTGATACAGTTCATTTACGCCATTTTGTGCCTATTCATGACAGATCATCTGATATAGGGATGGCAATTTCGACCTGACCCGTTTTACCCGACCTGTTTGACCTGTTTTGGGGCGGGTCGGACCCGCCCCGTAGGCGGGGCGGGGCGGGCATGGGTAGTCTCATCGACCCGACCTGTCCTGACCCGCCCCATTCTCGACCCGTTCTTGTCTAAATTACATGAAATCTTAGTCAAATTACTTTGAATTTTCCTTTTATTGCATCATATTTTAGCTATAATAAAGTTGTAAATTAGTGAAAACCTCAATTTCTCCAATAATTTAACTACAATTGTCATAATATTGTTTGTTTTCTTAGTTTTATAATAAAAATAACAAATATTTTTAATGTTTTTCATATAAATTGCATACCCATTGGGTCGACCTGCCCCGACCCGCGACCCGTGATCAATTACCCGACCTGGACCCGTCCTGCCACGGGGCGGGTCTGGGTACCAAGAAACCCGCCCCGGACCTGCCCCATTGCCATTCCTAATCTGATACAGTTCATTTACTCCATTCTGTGCCTATTCATTTCATTTTGTGCTCATTCACGTAATGCTATGGTAATTTACGTAAGAGTGTAAGTTGTCACGTAAATGGAAAGTCATACTTTTTCCCTCTAATAATTTGTATTGCCTATATTTTATGGAATTAAATTTGGATTATCATATAATCTGTACAAATATGTTGCATTGATCATAATCTACACAATGACATCTATTTTGATATATTTCAAAGTTTAAAATTTTATTTTACAACGACGGGACTAATTAATAATATGTGTGAATAAACATCATGTGGCGTGACCTAACAGTATTGCATACGAGAATAATCAACGTTGTTACGTGAATAACGAAAATATGTCGTGAATGACGCAAATAAGACGTAAATAACGCAAATATGGCGTTAACGCAAATATGACGTAAATAACCCAAAATTATGTGTTTTGTCACCTAACCTGACAAGAGACTTCACTCTTTTTTTTATGAATACTAATGTAGTTGAAGATATAGTGAATATTATGTTTACAGTGGTTGGAGGATAGATTTTGAAAAACGGTTATTAAGGATATAACTTTAAAAGTAAATTATTTTTCTAAAAGGATAAGGTTGGAAATGAATGTGTTTTAGGAAA